ATCATAAAATTCAACTGAGCTTGAATTTTTCTAGTGGGTATAAGTACAAACTGAAAAATGGTATAAATGAGGTTACATGGGGGATAATACATGTTATATAATAAATAAATAATACAATGCGATGCTATGCATTCTACACATTGATCACATGTTGTTTTACGTAGTAATTTACATTAATGCATTGTTGTGGATGAAACTCCTCCTCCAGAAATCAATTGGCAGAGTTTTAACAGGTTACACATTAATTGTTTATTAGAGTTTTGACAGAGTTTTGCATTTGGGGGTTTTGTCAATTGTCAGAGTTTTGACAAGGTATATACTAATATAAATAAATATATAGTTGAAGCTTGTTAAATTGATTGATTTATTATTGAATATATCTGTGGTTACTTTGATTATTATTATTACTAATTTTCAAAGCCAAATTGAAATAAACTCATCATAAAAAAAAAAAGAAATTTTTTAGTGATTTCCGGAATTTTTCGAAGCTATCGGAAATCTGCCGATCTTCACCACAAAGAATTTTGTGCACTGATTCGGAAAGTTTTAAAGAAAGAAATGGATACCGAAAGGATAATATGATCTTTGATGGAAGAACAGATCCAATAATGCAAGGAGGAAGAAACGTCAAAATAAGTGATCGTTATAGGATCAAATTTTTGCAAAACAAAGTCTAGAAAAATTTTTTTAAAAAAAAGAGACTGTTATGAAGAAAAGAACAATATACGCGTTTATCTAGATTCTGTAGATTATGTCAGTTCATATGGTACCAAGAAATAATTGCGAGAATGAATATTTTGTTAATAAATATATCTTTTAATAATAAAACTGTCAGTGGTTAATTTCGTGTATAATCTCTATCATTAATTATCTTAGATTTAATTTCGTATATAATCTTTGTTGTTAATTATCTTGGTGATTAATTTCATATTAATATTAATACTAATACGGAAATTCGCAATTTTCCGCATCATAAAAAAAATGTATTAGTATCAACTTAACTGAAATTACGTATATTTGATCTATTACTATAGAAAGTTATATACGGAGGTTCCGTATGAATTACAACTTTTATTGCAATTGCTATGGAAAGTGATTATTATAAAAGATATTAATATGGAATTATTCCGAAAAAAATTATAAAGCATACTAATACTATTCAGTATGTTACAAATTTCGTACCTTATATACGGAATCAAAAAGTACCTTTTTATTTTCAGTATTATTAATAATTATACAAGTTAATAATAAATATTTAGTAAAATAAAAATAAAATATGATTAAAGATAAAAAAAAAAAAAATTAATATAGAAATAAAATTTAAATTATCCCGGAATTAAGAGGTTCGGCCAAAATATTTGCGTTAAAGTCTAATCCCGGTAACAGTAGCTAACTGGGATGAAAGAATGGGAACATTGAAAATAAAAAATGATAATAACAATGATGATGATGATGATAATAGTGATGATGACAACATGATGGATACAAATCATAAAAGTAATAAAAAGAATAAAAGGGTGAAGAGAAAAGCTCTCGAAGAAGAAATAATAATACGTAGTAATATTCTATTTAAAAAAGAAAATCAAAAAAAATATTATGAATGGGGGTGGTACACATTGATTTTAGTTAGGCCTGGGTCACCACCACTCCATTTGGAGTGGTAGTTTTGTAGCCTAATATTTTATCAGAATTACTCAGATCAGACCTCGCTTTAACACAAAAAAGATACAATGGTACCCCTAATAATATGGATCTAAAAATAATTGTGGCCTAACGTAGAATGTGACCACATCTTTATAACTATAACCACTCTTACCTGATGCTTTATGGTCTATCATGTGTATGTTTTCAGAGGCTTATTATAGAACGAAGAGTAATTCTGATACAGAGCTAAACTTGTGAAATTTGCACGAGTAATTTATTAAAACTTATACAATAATAAAATCTTGTGTAAAAACATATATTTGGAAAACTAATAATAATGAAAAGCACTTCAACTAGATTCATTAGATCCACTAGGTTCTAATTTATTAATCAGATCATTAAGATGATCCCCCACATGTCTGGTTAATGCTCCATTTTTGCCTTTTTCTTTCTGCATGTGCATAACATTTTTTTTAATATGTTCAATGACTTGTTTCCCATTCTGAGTTTCTTTTTTCAAGTATTCGTTTATTAACGGATCGTTAGGATAATTTTTTAATGGTATTCTACTTTTCCGAGCATTGGTATCTTTCTCGATTCCAAAACAATTATCTTCATTATTGAGTTTATCTGAAACATTTTTAAGCTGTTTCGCCGTTATTTTACTTAAATCATGATTCTCAGTAATCACTTTAGCAATATCACCTGTTCCCCAAAAATGGTCAATTTGTAGATTGGCAGGTTTCTCTACGAGATTAGTATACTTGGTGGAGGAACCGTTACGTAAAGCATTGTTTACCCATGCTGTCGTTTTTTTTGTGTCGGAAGAACCGGAGTCAGGCTTATTTTCTTCGCTTTTATTAACCATTTTACAAGACTTGTTTGGTTGGAAATTTATTTGAAAAAAGTAGAAAAGAAAATATTTATAATAAAATTTCTTGTATGAGATTATCGGAATCGGAAATGATTTACAACACGACGGAAATATCAGTATATTAATATTAGTATTAGTATCAAACCAGTTCAATTAATTAGATGCAACATAACGGACCAATGAAACCAATTAACTCATAAAATTAACTCAAAAATATCCAGTATTCTAATTACGTCATTTATTTGATTCTAAAAAGGAACGATCCGCCATGAACCATTGATCTTTTTATTAAAAAATATCCGTCATGTGGTAAAAATTTTCAGATGTTCAATAGAAACCAGCACAGAGGAAGTTGTACAAGATAGGATATAACCTATCTTATCTCGTCCGGGAAAATTTAACCTATGATAATCGATATGAATTTAGTGAATTTTCTGGGTGATTTTAGCGAATTTTCTGTTGGAATTTGTTTCATGTAGCGTTATCCTATTACCAGAATTAGGATTTAACGCTGATTTGTTGGTTGAAATTCCGAATTAAATCTTTTATTCTATTTTTACTTTATTTTTATTTTATTTTCATAACGTCGAAATTAGCGTCGCGGTTAGAATGTTACGTCGCAATTAAAGTGCGATATCGCGGTTAAAATGCTAGATTGCAATGAAGTTGTTACTAATTAATTTAATTGTATATAAGAAGCTCAAATTCGACATACTTGTAAAGTAACTTTGTAAATAACTTTGTAATAAAGTTTTATAATAAAAATTAACTTAGAAATAAGTTAATAAATTAGTTTCGACTAAATAAAATGTTTTCTTAAATCACCAAAATTATTCGCTAATAAAACTTATTCGTTAGAAATAGCCAATTCATTCTGATCCACATAATCATAAATTTATATTGTTATAATCAATTAACACGCTCTCCCAAATAATAATTGGTGACACATGTTCAATGAAAAATTCGATATTTTAACAAACTTGTTTGGATTCTGACTTGGCATCAAACTTTTAATGTCAGCCATCTTTTGGAAATACTGCATAACTCCTATGTGTATGTGCACGAAAGGAAAGCAAAAATTAACAAATGTAGAGGAGTTTGTTTTCTCTTCTTGTATGATACTTAAATTGCACAGTCACTTAATATCCAATTAATTACATACATGCATTGATCGTTGAATTGGATCATTGAACAAATCTAAAGAGGATAGCTAAAATTAATAAACATCAGATCTAAGTTAAGAAGGGAATGGCTAAAATTGATCATCTAATTACTACAGTACTGAAGATCGGATGACACATCATAATAATAAGTCACGAAAAAAAATGTTTGTTTATTTTATTGCCAAAAAAAGTAAAATACTCTTCTTATATGGTTCTTATGGTGGCTTTAACTTGCCATAGGGTTGTAACTATCATAGGAAGTTGCAATCGATAACCTTAGATGTTGACCCAATTGCGATACACATTTCTTCTCAGAACATGTCCTACCAAAGTCGCAGAAGTTTACAAAAAATAAAACACTTTATGCAACCTTCCAAAAATGCAAGCCCAAATATATGCTGAATGTCAATTTTATTTTTTATCTAATTATATATTTTCTATTGTCAAAAAGGTTTTACAAGGCTTTCAGAATCATTAAAAGTGCATAACAAAAAAAGTGCAAAGTACACATTTTTGTATTTTTTTTTAAAAAAAATTCACTGCATGAAATTATGGAATTTTATCCCGCCGATACAAGTATCGCACTTCACATGAGGCATAAATATTAAACATAATATATTAACAAAAGAATTTTTAATGAATTATGGCAAAAATAAATTTCCGCCGAAAGATGGTTAATATAGACAATGTCATATGATACAATATACGAAAAATTTGATTGCTATATAATAAAAAGACTCAAAATTCTGAATTATGATATACAGTTTTATTACAAATTGGCCTAACAGCCACCTATAAGCGTGCGAGGATTGTTGGCTTTGCTATTAATTTGTAAGAGTATAAAAGATGTGTTTAGTTAGATAAGGAGCAATGTGCACCCTTGCTGATGGAAATGGATTAGTACTCACGTGCCGTCCGCTTGGAAACAATTTACCATTATATGAGTGGGTTGACCTTTAGGGCACAAGTCGGTAGTACCAGTAATATCACACCAGCCACCTATGAAAGATGAATAGGGCAAAAAATAAACATATTGACCGCTATTGTTATGTCAACTTTACGTAGGGGATATCCAACTGACCTGCATAAATCTGCGCTTCCTTGTCACATCCACAACTACTACTAATATCCAAATCTAAAACAGCATCTTGCGCACCAGTTGGATTACAACTCGTGTCTTTATAATTGCAACATTTATTGGCTCCAGGGGCGATTTTTCCAAAGAAGTGCCCTATGTTAGAACCAACAGATACATCGACGTCAATATCGATTTTATTATAAATGCAGAAAGCATTGGCAGTAAGAACACTACTAAGAATAACGATGAGAGCAGTTATAATGGCAATAAATGTTTTCATTTCGAAGAAAAAAAATGATATAATCGCAACAAATATTTAAATGCACCTATTTTTATATAAAACATGAATCTTCAAAATGAGTTTTTTTTTGGGTAATGTGAAATCTAGAATTAAAATTTTGAGATTTTGATTGGCTAATAATATATGTGAATTGCAAATCCATTTTCACAACAGAAAAAATTTTCCTCATTCATTGCAAGAATCATTTTCATGCCACATTTTCCTGTCCTTTATATTAATATCTCTCTATATCATATTTAACCAACTTTATTATTATGATTTTGCTGACAGAATTTTTTTAGTTTGATAATCCTTGGAGATTACGGAAGATATAAAATAATTACAAAGTTATCGGGCTGAATAATGCATAATCAACATAAGGTTTCTATTTATAATACAAATTCTTATTTGAATTATTTGTAATGCAGTCAATCTTAATTTGAATCAATTTTCGAAATAAATTTTTTTTAAATTAGATTGGATCATGTTTTATTTTATTCGAATTATTATTCGAATTCGAATAAGAATTTGTATTACAATAGTAATAGTAATAGTAATAGTAATAGTAATAGGAATCCTGTAATTGTTGCATAATCTCAAAGTCAAAATAATAGCGAATATGAAAATCATCTGCAGATTGTTGTAAATAATTAAACATAATATGGCAAAAAAATCACAAGACCGTGATGAACAAATAAAACTTCTTGTATAATTACGAAGCTTTGTATATATACTCTCTAGAATTAAAGTTATTGAACAATGTACTTTTGATAACTTTTGTTAATAAAGTTTTACTGAAAAGGTAGTATTAAGTTCAACACATGTTGAGAATTCTATAAATAAAGTTACGAATTCTTGTCCTCTGTTTATATGTTTTAGTTAAATTAAGAAAAACTAAATGAACAGTGTTCTAATTGACTCTATTGACTATATATTTATGAAAAAAAAAGACAAAGCCGCATTAATATTAATAATATTTCGTTTTTATTATTATATTAATATATATATACAAATATAGGGACACTTGCAGATTATTGGAAAAAAATTTTTATTATTTCAACTACATTTGCTTATTAAGTAAAATTCATTTTCATATCAAATATTGAAGTTTCGCCGCATGTGATAACAGCTTGTTGCTTTATGAACCTTAAAAATAAAAATGAATTTTTAAAGTTTTTCGCCTCGAAAATTGATCACAACAGCAAGTTCTGGTATAAGTAAAAAATGCGTCTCATAATTAAATCTGAAATTTAGAGCATTTGGTAAATTAATTAACAGAAAATTTTACGGAACGATTCAACCTTAAACTGCCCATCAATTTGAAACATAAAAGACATAAAAATATATGAAACCGTTTTAAATTAATTGTATTTTATTAAAAGTAAATTCAATATCTTGTCGGGTTTCCTTTACTTTTTAAAACAGCATCCACCCTTAGTGGCATACTATCTATTAATCTATTAGTTCTTTCCGGAATAGTACTAAACATACCAACTTATAAGCAGTTGTTTTGGTATCCTTTTTTACTGCTTTCATAAGTTGTCTTTCATCACTATCTGACAACTTTTTAGGTCTGCCAGGTTTAGGAGTTGCAGTTGTTTTATTTTTTGAAAAATAATCATTAACGGTCTTTTCAACAGCACTTTAATATACGAGCTATTTCTCTATAAGAACTTAAGCCAACAATTTCTCCACGTTTGAATTCAGATAATTGAGTAGCTTTGGGCATTGTTTAAAAAAAAATGGTTAAAGTTTACTTTTAATTGAATTATCTAATTTGGGATTTTTTTAAAAGATCCTCAAAATTAACTTGTTCAAGTATTTTGTATGACATCTTGGCAATTATGGCTTAGAATTTCAGAAGTATATACTAGATTTAATTATACCACAAGGGTTGTTAGAACTAGGGTTCCTAACTGTAATTATAACTATTTCGGATGCTTGTAATTATTTCTGATACTCGTAATTATTTCTGATACTCGTAATTATTTCTGACTGATACTTGTAATTGTTTTGAACACTCATTATTTCAGATATTTGTATAAATTCTAACAAACTATTATTAATTTTTTCTTGTTCTTTAATTGATAAAGTTACTTTTTGGACATATCAATTTGATTGTTTATTTCAAGTATATCAAAAAATTATTGATAAATTATATCATCATACAAATCAATCATTTTTTATCAGGTGTAAGAATATTATGACATTTTAAAAATGATTTATACAATTGAAGTATTAGGAAAATTTTTCTGTAAAATCCATTAGAATTACTTTGTTGCAAAAATATATGTTATCTTTATTATCTTTGAAAAATGTTTGTTATATAGTAGGGTAAGTTACAAATAAGTTAATACTATTTGTTATCAATTGATAATCATTCATAATTGTTACAATTTAGAATGTTAGGATGATAGTTTCCATGAGTTAATGGTTGGCTTTTTACATTGATTGAGCAACACTTTATTAAACTGGATTGATATGTATCTTGAAATGTATAATCAGTATTTTTCAATTTTCTTTTTCTTTTTTGTGTAATAGTAATAGTAACTTATTATAAATCTTTTCTGATTTATTTTTAAATTTCCCATGATTCATAAATCACACTATTTTACAATATAACCCTCAAGAATAGAATTCAGTTGATGGGATTTTCTAAAGAATTTTATAATCTTATTTGATTTTTGAAGTAAAGAGTCTGGAAATAGATATTTCATTGAGGTGTTACACATCAGCATAAATACAAACATACATATAAAAATCATATGTATGGATTTTTTATTAACTAATAATAATAATAACAAGGCAAGGATTACCCCAAGACCAGAACGGTTATTAAGTATTGACACATAAAAAACAATTATTTGTTTGAATGAAGGAATAAGAACAAGTAACAAAATTTTAACCCATGCAATTGTTGATTGACCAATCAAAATTGTGAATTTAATTATATAAAAATAAATATTGGTTTGATTCATTTTGTCAACAATCACTTCACAAACAGTTGTTTCATTAACAAATGGTTTGAATTTAAGAAATTGGAAGCAACCATCAACAAACCTTTGAAATAGTCTAATAAATTAAATTGTACTACCCAAAATGTATTTAAAGGGTTGGTTTTTGACTTGGTTGAAGAATAACTCTCTTCCTAACTCTTCTCTTGACCATATCTCTCAATATAATCAAAATAATCTTAATATAATAAATATGATATGATTATAAACACAACCAATATTTAAGATATACAATTAAGACAAATCAAACAAATTTATTTAATAAAAGCAAAGTTTACAACCCAAAAAATGTTTTTTTTGCATGTTCTAAGAAAATTTCTATTGTTGCTGCATCATCTATTGCTGATTCAACATTACCCAGATCATCATCAACTGTATTTTTGTTATTTTCGATAAACTCATTTTCATTTAATCTTTTCATCATATTTTCTTTTAGTGCATTGACTTTTTTTTTTGATTTCAACTTGAAGATAGTCCAAGATATCAAACATTTAGATTGGCACATTTGTAGACAATTATTGTGATAACCAATGTCCACATGCAAGTATATACACTACAATTATTCAATTTAGTATAGTTAGTGTAATCACAATATATGTAATTGCAAAAAATGTTTGTAGAAGTAACAAAGCCTCTTGGAAGACAACAATCGGTTATTTTGTAAACTAAAAGATGCAATTAACATCATTAGATGAAGGCTTATTAATCAAAGGTAGTGTTCCATGTTGTAATCCAAAAAATGAAACAAAATGGTTGTAAAGATGATTGCAACCAGTGGTTGCAATCATTTTTATATGATGCAAAGGTGGTAGTAACCATCATCAAAAGTTGCAGCCGGTATCCTTAATCAAAGGATACTGATTTCATGCTTGATATAGTGGTAGTACCTATGAAATCTAAATAGAATGCAAGGTTGAACTTAAAGGAGTTAATTTTGTATTATTTAATGAAGCAAGAAGATAACATACACCATTAATCCCTTCATATGGTCCATTATTTGCTCATTACATTCAAATGGCTGAGCTGTTAAATAAAGTTGGTCAAAAAACCCCCTCAAGCTTGGTTCTATTTCTTGGAGCAATCTTCATATTTCATCAAAATTGTATAAGGAACTTCTTTATATGAACATTCTCTTTCATAAAAGATTTTGGTCATCATCTTCATGTTTGTTTTATAAACATTTTCAGTTGTTACATTTTATTTTGTTTTTTTTTGATCTTATTTCATGTTTGCTTATTAACATTTTCAGTTGAAACCTTTTTATCATTGATACATATTAGTAATGGCAACATCTAATCATTATAATCAGGATCTTTTTACCACTTCTACTTGTTGCTTCCATTGTTTGCTATTGATAAATGGAGGAAGACAACATCAAATGTATTTGTGAAGAGAATGTCAACAAGGAAGAAGATAATTTGTTGTGGTTGATGATGATGATGATGATGTTAATAAATTGTGAAATAACCTTGATTCTATACTCTTCAATCTTTTAGTGATGGAAGCGACTTTGTGTTTTTTATTCATGATGTTGGATGATGACAATGATAAATTTCTTGGATTTAAGTATTCCTATTTGCAATAATAGCTTAATTATCTGATTTTCATGCAAGTTTTTTATATGCTCAGTAAATTCATTTTTCTTTTTTCTATTTTATTTTATGGAATAAAGTGTTGATTTCATAGATTTATTGAGGTTCATTAAAGCTAATTTCATGGATTGTATCCTGACATTCATCAGAGCCAATTTCATAAGCAATTTTTTGAGATTCATTCAAGCTAATATGATTGATGGTTTCAAAGCTCCAAACAGTTTGATTCAAACTGAAGAATTTTGGTTTGGTTTCAGTTCACTCTTTGAACCAAACTGTTCAGAGCTTAAGCTAAAAACTACTTGGCAGTTCCTGGTATTCTAATTTTTGCACTCTGCTTATTTAGAATTAAATTTAATCTAATAACAACCAGTGAATGAGTTTTTTCTGGAGG